CCCAACTTCAGTCCCACCTTCAGTCCCACTTTCAGCCCCACCTTCAGCCCCACCTTCAGTCCCACCTTCAGCCCCACCTTCAGTCCTACCTTCAGTCCCACCTTCAGTCCTTCCTTCAGTCCTACCTTCAGCCCCAACTTCAGTCCCACCTTCAGTCCCACTTTCAGCCCCACCTTCAGCCCCACCTTCAGTCCCACCTTCAGCCCCACCTTCAGTCCTACCTTCAGTCCCACCTTCAGTCCTTCCTTCAGTCCTACCTTCAGCCCCAACTTCAGTCCCACCTTCAGTCCCACTTTCAGCCCCACCTTCAGCCCCACCTTCAGTCCTACCTTCAGTCCCACCTTCAGTCCTACCTTCAGTCCCACCTTCAGTCCTACCTTCAGTCCCACCTTCAGTCCCACCATTAGTCCTACCTTCAGTCCCACCTTCAGTCCCACTTTCAGCCCCACCTTCAGCCCCACCTTCAGTACCACCTTCAGCCCCACCTTCAGTCCTACCTTCAGTCCCACCTTCAGTCCTACCTTCAGTCCCGCCTTCAGTCCTACCTTCAGTCCCACCTTCAGTCCTACCTTCAGTCCTACCTTCAGTCCCACTTTCAGCCCCACCTTCAGTCCCACCTTCAGCCCCACCTTCAGTCCCACCTTCAGTACTACCTTATGTCCCACCTTCGGTCCTCCCTTCAGTCCCACCTTCAGTCCTACCTTCAGTCCCACCTTCAGTCCTACCTTCAGTCCCACCTTCAGTCCTGCCTTCAGTCCCACCTTCAGTCCTGCCTTCAGTCCTACCTTCAGTCCCACCTACAGTCCTACCTTCAGTCCCACCTTCTGTCCTGCCTTCAGTCCTGCCTTCAGTCCTACCTTCAGTCCCACCTACAGTCCTACCTTCAGTCCCACCTTAAGTCCCACCTTCTGTCCTACCTTTAGTCCTATCTTCAGTCCCACCTTCAGTCCCACCTTCAGCCCCATCTTCTGTCCCACATTCAGTCCTACCTTCAGTCCCACCTTCAGCCCCACCTTCAGTCCCACCTTCAGCCCCACCTTCAGCCCCACCTTCAGTCCCACCTTCAGCCCCACCTTCAGTCCCACCTTCAGCCCCACCTTCAGCCCCACCTTCAGCCCCTCCATCAGCCCCTCCATCAGCCCCTCCATCAGTCCCGCCTTCAGTCCCACCTTCAGCCCCACCTTCAGTCCCAACTTCAGTCCTACCTTCAGCCCCACCTTCAGCCCCACCTTCAGTCCTACCTTCTGTCCTACCTTCAGTCCCACCTACAGTCCTACCTTCAGTCCTACCTTCAGTCCCACCTTAAGTCCCACCTTTAGTCCTACCTTCAGTCCTACCTTCAGTCCCACCTTAAGTCCCACCTTCTGTCCTACCTTTAGTCCTACCTTCAGTCCCACCTTCAGTCCCACCTTCAGCCCCACCTTCAGTCCCACCTTCAGCCCCACCTTCAATCCCACCATCAGTCCCAACTTCAACCCCACCATCAGTCCCACCTTCAGCCCCACCTTCAGTCCCACCTTCAGCCCCACCTTCAGTCCCACTTTCAGCCCCACCTTCAGTCCCACCTTCAGTCCCACCTTCAGTCCTACCTTCAGCCCCACCTTCAGCCCCACCTTCAGTCCCACCTTCAGTCCTACCTTCAGCCCCACCTTCAGCCCCACCTTCAGCCCCACCTTCAGTCCTACCTTCAGCCCCACCTTCAGTCTTACCTTCAGCCCCACCTTCAGCCCCACCTTCAGTCCTACCTTCAGTCCTACCTTCAGTCCTACCTTCAGCCCCACCTTCAGTCCTACCTTCAGCCCCACCTTCAGTCCTACCTTCAGTCCCACCTTCAGCCCCACCTTCAGCCCCACCTTCAGTCCTACCTTCAGCCCCACCTTCAGCCCCACCTTCAGCAGTGTGCCAGGGCACCCTGCAGCCACCCTGGCTGGGCCTGGCTGCAGGGGACAAGCCCACAGCAAGGCAAACTGCTGTTCCTTCCAGCTGAACCAGTACTGGTGACCCACATCACAATGAGGGGCATCAAACTTTAGATTAATTTCCTCCTCTGATGAACAGAACAAAACCGCAGATTCAAATATTTCACTTATGTCATAAAACCAATGCATTTAGGATCATCTCACATTGTCCAGTTTTAGTTCAACCTTTTGTGTTGGAGGAAACATCTGAAGTGTTTGTGTTTGTCAGCCTGTAACTGGACTCCACTGCTTGTTCAGAATTTACAGGCTGCAGTCTGTGTGGGAAAGAGGGGATGTGCACATGTTCAGCTCCTCAGATCAATCTGTTTCTCTTTATTTTGACCAGATCAGCTAAAAACAGGAATCTGACAAAAGCAGGTTTACAGTCATTTCACTTCATCCTGAAAGAATTAATTTTTTAATTCATCCAATCCTTTTGATTCCAGTTTGAAAGTGTTATCCTAAAGAAAGAATAATGCAAATATTTAGAGAAGTTTCACTCTGGTAAAACATGTTCAGCTCATCTGAAGGGCCCGAGTCCTGATCCAGTTTACATTCATTTCATGTTAAAGTAAGAGTTCATTTATTGTTTATAGTTTGAATGTTTGTT